AGAAGGGGGGGGGGTCGAATTGGAATAGGGCCCCAAATAGGATTCCTCCTACTTGGGGCGCCCAAGGCAGCTCCCCTCCCCCTCCCACCTATATATACATATGGGGAGAGGGCGCCTAGAACACACACCAACATCTGTTAGCCGTGCGCGATGCCTCCCTCCATAGATTACACCCTCGGTCATATTCTCGCAATGCTTAGGCGAAGCCCTACGGGGATCACTTCACCATCACCGTCATCATGCCGTCGTGCTGACGGAACTCATCTACTTCCTCGACACCTTGCTGGATCAAGAAGGCGAGGTACGTCATCGCGCTGAACGTGTGCAGAACTCAGAGTTGCCATACGTTCCGTGCTTGATCGGTCGGAACGAGAAATAGTTCGACTACATCAACCACGTAATCAAACGCTTCCGGTTTCGGTTTACGAGGATACATAGACACACTCTCCCCCTCTCGTTGCTATGCATCTCCTAGGTAGATCTTGCATGAGCATAGAAAATTTTCTGACATTACATGCTACGTTCCCCAACAACATTCCCTTCCATGAAGAGTAAAGTGATGAAGCCTTTAGGCATTGGTCGTAATAACTATGAAAAATAAAGAGGGTAAATATTTCTGAACGATTTTGATTGCATCATCAACTCATCCAAACAAGAAACTTTCAGAAACCGCAAACCATCTATACACACCAACCATCAAGCCTCCAAACCAAACATGCATCCCGGGACAACTCTACTACCAGTGCTTGTCACCCACAGAAAGCTACAGCTCAATTTACAAGCTTCCCTCCAGAGTCCAGACACCAAACAACGCGAAAAACATGGAGAGGACACGCGAAAACTAGGTGCGGAGCGCCATGAACAGGTTCTGCCTTCTCGCATGCTCCGGAACCAGGCGCTCGACGACTTCCGGAGGTATACCGTTTAGCTCTGCGAATGGCACATGAAATGGACAGATTCAGCTGAGAGCAGTTTACTAGATGCAGATAGGTGCATTTCTGAACTAGGAAGACTGAAGGTAAATGTAACTACTGACACACCAAAGGTGTTGGAGAAAGCTTGACAAATGCAGCACGAAGGCAAAGCCTATAGCAACCAAGATTGGCAGGAAGCGAATCGCTGAATGTGAAGGTCTGGCTGCTGCTACTGCTATTTAGATACAGTTACACTACCTTGAGATCTGAAGTTGAAGAGGGGTGGAAGAGGCCGGCCGTTAGGTAGGCGGGTGTTTGGATCTCTCAACTCATCAAAGAACGGGTGCATGCAGGCTTCCATCTGAAGAATGGTTCCATGGTTAGAACATAAACGAGCTCATAGTGCATCAGTCTGCAATCTGGAAGGCAACATAAGAAAATGATCCTGTGGCCTTACAGCAGTGCACCGAAGATCTGGTGAGTATTGGAGAAACCTGCTGACAAGGTCCATTGCTTCAGGTGGAAGCTTTTTCTGAAAAACCTGAATAAAAAGAAAATTTTGAGGTAACAGAGGAACCATGAGAAAAATATGTTGATTTAATTTTGCGCCTGAGCGTACAGATGACATCAAAAATGACTTCTGTGTCAATTATTATTTCTCACTATTTAACAGCACGGCAGTCAATGTTTCCAAAAGTATGCACCAAATCGAACAGCTGCTGCGCACACCAAACAGCCACTAATGAAGCATGGCAGACATAATATGCAAATTACCTTGTGCCATGGGTGAGCCTTAATTTGTGGGAACTTGAACTCCGTGTAGTTTGGATTCATGCACTTGATCTCTTCCCTTGTTGGAGTACCCAAGACCTGCAAGGCACTATGACTGAACATGTCATTGTAAAGAATACAGGTCTCAGGACAGAACAGTTTAAGATGTCATATAAGTTTTCACCTTGATAATCTCAACCAGCTGATCAACTCCACTTTCCCCAGGAAAGAGTGGCTGCATGGATGAATATTATGAGAAGAAGGTAGAGAGAAAAAAGAAATGACTATATTCGTGAACAAAACCTGTCCAAGAAGCAGCTCTGCCATCACACAGCCTGTGGACCACAAATCAATGGCTGTAGTATATTCAGTTGCACCAAATATGAGTTCTGGTGCTCGGTAGTATCTTGAGCATATGTAGGAGATATTTGGCTCTCCCTTGACCTGCATATATTCAAAACATTACATCAAAACAATTTAGAAATCACCATGTCCGGGTAGGTTACTGGCGTAAGTGCACACCTTTTTTTATTCCTATTATCAAGAAAGTTTAGCATGCTCTTTTCAAAATCAGCAGGACTCGTGCATTTAAATTTCAAAACCTAATATAGAAGATAACTTACCAAGACCTTTGCACTGCCAAAATCACATATTTTAAGCTGGTGTGTATGTGGGTTAACCTACAGTGGAAAGCTTACTGGGTTAGTAAAAATGTATTAGTGGTTCTTCAAATATAATTAGTAACTGTTCTTCCTGATGTAAAGAAAGCTCAACTGGCCAAACAATTCAGAGGGCGAGGGAAGATATGTATAGCACAACATATTAAAGCATAGAAAAGGAGGTTAAAATCTCACGAGAACGTTCTGTGGTTTGATATCACGGTGGCAGATGCCAACACAGTTATGTATATAAGCAAGTGCTCGGCATATCTGCAAAGTTACGAGATTACAGGAACAATAATTAGACGACTTGTAACTTGTAACAATCACATCTTGAGCCAATATACTAAATATCAAAAGACAACTGAAGGAACAATTCTGTTGCATGGCTGGGACATTATATTCTGACTTGAACAACTACAAAGAGCAAACAGATTACGGATGTATGGCAAAACTCATTAACTAAACGTTTATCTATAGTCTCCAAAATCAGTGGAATTAAGCATTAGTTGAAGAAAGTAAATAATACGGATGCACTAATGTGTGATTCATAGGTTATTGAAGTCCCTAGTAGTAGAGATAACGTTCATACTACCACAAAAATGTGCACAAACTTATCTCAGAAAAAAAGTATCTCATCCTCATCGCCTGTGTGATATACACATAGAAAATAGAACCTTACGATTAAGTAAACATACAAGAAAAAGTGGTAGAACATAAATCCAAAGACTGTAGAACTGACAGGCTGGCTCGGTTGTACGTTTGAATGTCTCAGAAGTTATTTTGGGTTGCTAGTGAAGCCATCAGTGTGAATAACTAATCTGAAACTTGTAGATAGGTCCCAACACAGTACTCAGCTATTGGAACAATAAGTTTCGAGCAGGCATGAGGACAGAAAAATGCTGCAACTAATTAGGGAACATATCATATACCATGAGTTCCACACGACAGCATGTAGATAATTTGGGTAACAAGTATGCCTAGTGCAAAGATTAACCTTAAAATAGTTTTGTAAGAAAATAAAGATGGAGGACAGTTGTGCGAAGCATAACATTGTTCAGAAAAATTACTGCCAGGTCAGGTCAGACCTGATAAGTGTATAGTTTGACATAAATGAGGGGCACTCTTTGATTCATTCTGTTGTATTGTCTTGCCATCCGGTTAACTGTCTCTGGAACGAACTCAAGGACAAGATTAAGATAAAGCTCATTCCTTTCAGTGGTTGAGAAGAAGTAATGCTTAAGACCAACAATGTTCGGATGGTCAAGCATATGCATAATTTGCAATTCCCTGTTTTTGTAACGCTTATCTTGAAGAACCTTTTTGATGGCAACGACTTCTCCCGTTTCTCGACATTTGGCCTGAAGAATTGACAGTAACAGGTTATATGCCTTCAACTATCAGTTGTGCATAGACCAGCCTAGACAACACAAAGGTCAGAAGTTTACCTGAAATACAACTCCAAAAGAACCAGTTCCAACCACATGTTCAGCAATGTAACTGACGGACTGTTTCATTAACCACCATATCAGCAAATTGTGCTTTGATAGCCAAACATTATAGTAGATTGTCAAGATGAATGTAGCATCGCCATTACCTGTTTTGGCAGACCATTTCGACCACGGATTGTGGTTGCAATTATTTGACCAGCTTCAGAACCAGAATCGGCAACCACATCTGGCTCATTGTCCTGAAAAATGAAAAATGGCGTCACTTTATCTAGTAGAACAAGATGCAAAGTTGATCAACAATTTCCATTAGGATTACTGTGAATATATATGAGCCATAACAGAGCGAAACCAGAGCATGAAACCATCCATTCCCAGGATCTAGAACACACCGCAAATATGCAGTACAGCATATACTTAAACTTGCAGCAATGCAGTAATCCATTACTACAGGTAGTACAGACACAAAAACTCAAGCAGAGCCATATAATATGAGGAAGAAGATGGCTTGTGATACGTAACGTGATCGATTAATACAGTGATTACTGACAGATTGCTCATTGTACCTTAAACAGTTCAGTCACAGGTCAATCAAACAGGAGTAGCAGAAACCACTGAACCAAACCTACCCTTTCATCATGAGCATCATCTGGCTTTGCATCTCTGAGCTGCATCCCCACCATTCCCCTTCCCAGGAACTCAACTGAGCTGGCCTGCCCCTTGAAGCCATTCCCCTGCCGCGACGAGCTCCCGGCGGCATCGACATGCCTCTGTCCAGAATACGCCATCTCCCAGCTGATTGGTAAGGACTTAACGGAGATCACCAAGGTCAGCGTCTGCAAACAGCAGGGGGCTCATCTCATTGCTAGCAGAAGGGTCAGCCTACTGCCAATGCAGCTTCCTCCACCACCTCCTTCAACAACAGCTGCCCACCAAAAATAAAATAAAAAAGCGTTCAAGATTAACTCGGAATGGATAAATCCCCCAGAAAATAATCATCAGGAAATAAATTGTTCTTCGGTCAGAGCACACGTCTCCTGAAGAACAAAAAAAAAAACACATCAGTTGAATTTCTAGCCACCCAGAGACCTAGAAGATCCACTGAATAAAAAAACCAGCGGCCCTCTCCAAATCGCGAGGGACAAACCCCTCACGAAACTGGACCAAGATCCTCCGAGATGATTGGGTCGAACCAGCCGCAAACCGGGCCGGCGCGAGCGATAAAAATGAACTTTTTCAGCGGCGGGATCAGAGAATCCAAGAGCCGGTACCTGAAACCAAAGATCGAAGGCCGAAAATTCTGGAGCAGATCAAGCCGCAGCCCCTCAGCGGTTCCACGCACGGTTCCGCGATTCTCTCCCTGCACGAACTGCTGGTTTCGGGGCGGCGGAGGGGGGAGACGGTCGGCGGGCCGGCCGGCCAGTAGGTAATGGTGACTGACGAGTGAGGGAGGGGGAGTGGGAGTGAGTGGAGGGCAGGGGGCGGCTGCCTCCTCCCCTTCTACCTTCCGAACTTTTCTTTTTCTGGCACTCAACATTATTGGCATGGAGTAAAAAATAGTTGAGGAGGTGGAGGTGATGGTGAGCATGTGAACTGAAACTGAAAGAAATGGAGAAAGAAACAAGTTGGGACTGATACTCTGAAGAACCGTGAAGGCGACACCTTTGTTTACAGTCAATTTGGCAGCGAAAATTTTGTGGATTGACTGATGGATGGATAATACTAGATGGGATATTTATTTACCTGGGAGTGACCTGTGATGTGAAAGGATTATCTTATGGAGTATAATGTAAAAGTATGTAATTATTGGCAGGTAAACTGATAGTGAAATGCTTAATAATTTGGAAACTACGTCGTCGGTGATGCAACTGGTGTTAATTTTGCAGTTATGACAGAGGAAGATACAGTGAGGTACTACATGGGCGTGCAAAGGGCATTTTCTGAAAGACAAAAAAGACAATTATAGTGTAGCTTTTCTGCTGTGCGGGAGAGATGATGATGCTTCTGTGAAACAAGCTTTCAAAGTTGCACACACATAGACAGAGCATAGTACAATTCTAATAATATTCAACACAAAATCCAACACATTGTGATCGGGACTGGACACAAGGCTGCTTGAGGCGTGGTGTGGTGTGGTGCCACACAACTTTCGGTAGAAACAGAGACAATGGAGAGCTTCAGGTTCAGGAGACCACTCTGTCAGACGCGGTATTATTCAGTGCTGAAACTCCATGTCATGTACTCTCTCCGTCCGAAAAAGCTTGTCCCTCAAATGGATGTATCTAGCACTAAGAGTAGTTAGTGCTAGATACATCCATTTGAGGAACAAGCTTGGGACAAGCTTTTTCGGACGGAGGGAGTAAGTAGCATTATTATACCTGACCAATCAGTGATGTTCAGACAGCATCTAACACTTTATATACATTCTCAACCATGTCTTTTTTTTTTGCAAACTACTCTCTCCGTATAAAAATATATGACGTTTTTTGACACAGTCACAGTGTCAAACAGGGAGCACACAAGAAAACTCTGCCTGTCTCTTCTGTATGTGCTGATTAAATCTTCTCGTGTGCTTTCTTTTTCTCTCTATCTTATACTGAACAAAATGTTGCATGGTTCTTCTCCACAGCTCTGCTCCCCTGCCTGCCTGCCAGCAATGCAGGGAGAAAAACTTTGATGCAATAAACTGATAATGATACTTGATGCAATGCAAGCAAAGCAAAGTCATGGCAATGCATCTGCACTGCAGCCACACACACAACTTTGCCCAACAAGAATGGCAACAAGAAAGAAACAAGTGGCAGCAGCAACAGAAAGGAGCACTCCAAAAGTTTCATCCTCATCATGCTCATCGTGCTCGCTGACCGGGGTCAATGCCAGCCATGGCAGATATACTACAGTTCTTAGTTACATGCCACTGTAAAGTGCAAAGTGCTGGTGTGTGTGCTGTGAGAAGCTGATTCATCACAGCTGGACTCCAAGCAAAGGTGATGGTAGGTAATCAGGCATGTGCTTAACTCACCACTTTACCAGAACATGTCCTGCACTGAGATGGTTAAATACTCAGATGCCGACGGCGTCGAGGAGCTCCGAGTGCTGCGCCACGGAGACGAGCGTGTTGGCGACGATGGCCCCGCTGGCGGCCACCGCGGGCACGCCGATCCCGGGGAAGGTGGAGTCGCCGCAGCAGAAGAGCTGCGGGACCGGCGTCGCCTGCCCCGGGAACGTCGCCTCCCCGGCCTTTATCGCCGGGCCGTAGGTGCCCCGGTTCCGCCGGAGGAACCGCTTGTGCGTCAGCGGCGTGCCCACCAGCTTCACCTCGCACTTTTCCCGGCTGAACTTCGGGCCCAGCGCCAGCTCCACCGCCTTCCACATCACCTGCAAGCAAAAAAAGTTTCCCATTACAAAAGTTGGTTAAGACAGACAACAGGTAACAGCAGCTCATGGCCAGTAAAAAGGAGTGTCTAAACTAACTTTTGCTTAACTTTTGTGAAAGGAGTTTTTTTGCTAAACTTTTGACGAAAGGAGCTCCAAAGGATGTTAAAAGTGTTAAAGTGGAGCTATTTGTATCTATCTATGTGCTGATTCCAAGAGACCAAGGGAACAAAGTTACTATGTGGATTACTAGAAGAGTAACAATACTGCATTTCTAGTAGGTAATATGTTGCATATTACCTCGGAACGCTCCTCTTTCAGACTCCGGTATGCCGCGCTCTTCCGGTCGAGCCCCTCCCACAGGCCGAAAGGCTCCGTCCCCGGCGTGTACGCGTGAAGGATGTGCTTCCCCGGCGGCGCCAGGCCCTCGCCGAGAACGCTGGGGACGGATATCAGCACGACATTCTGCTCGCCGTCGACTCCTTTGTCCCAGTCGTTAACCACAATATGATGGATCCCAAGGTCCTCCTTGACACACTATCCAGTTGCATACTCCCTCCATTCCGAATTACTTGTCTTGGATTTGTCTAGATACGGAGGTATCTAGCACTAAAATGAGTCTAGATACATCCGTATCTAGACAAATCCAAAACAGGTAATTCGGAACGGAGGGAGTAGATGGTTACAACGCGAAAATGTACCGATGAAGCAAATATATAAATAGACATAAGTATAACTGGATCTAAAGATAATTTGTTATGATGAAGCATATGAGACAACCAACCTCCGCGTCGAAACCCAGGTGGAGGTGCATGAACGAATCGCACTGCGGCGTCGCCTTCACTTGATCTTGGTATGATCTCGGGACGGCGTCTGGTGGGAGAAGACCCAGGGTGTCCCACATGGACGCGTTGCTAACGACCGCTTTCTTCGCACGTACGATCTGCAAAGAGGAAAACATTTCATTCATGACAGGATTTCAGCGGCCGTATCGATGTTTCAAGCATGATGGAAGTCAATATGAGGGAAAAGGTAATCATGCATGGCACTTGGAAACAGATGCATGAGACAAGGAGGTCGCTCGTCTTGGCCTACAAGATTTGCATGGTCTGCCACTAGCTAGTGCAAAAGGTGGCAAAGGCCTGAATCTTAATGGGATGGATATCTAGTGGTAGAGAAGATAGCACTTAGTTTGCTTGGGAGGGATGATACCATATTGTATTGGCTATTGTGGATTTGTACCTTATTAGTATTGAAAGATTTTTGGCACCAATAAGATACTCCCTCCGTCTCATAATATAAGAACATTTTTGACACTAGTGTAATGTTAAAAACATTCTTATATTTTGGGACAGAGGGAGTACTATATAGAGACAGTACTTCATATACTAGTAGAAAAGGGGGCATCAGTCCCGGTTCGTAAGGGCCTAAAGGTCGCGGCCATGTGGAGCTCCACCTAAAGGAAATTTTATGATTTTTTTGAATTTTTTTATTTTCAAATTTTTGAATTTTTTTAACCTTTAATCTCTAATCACCACCACTCATCACTGCTCAATTTATCCTCTAATCTCTAATCACCTCTCATCAAATCATCTAATTTCCCGAACAGTCACCCATCCTCCCACTTCCCCAGCCTGAGCACGCTTAACTTCCGGGTTCTATTCTCCCTCGTTTCCAAGTCTGCACTTGTTGTTTTGCTGACAATAGTAAGATGTCAATCCTATTAACCCTCAGGAATTTTGCGTGAGCATGAAGTTACACATTTCACTGTTTGAGTTTGAAACTATTGTTTAAAAAAACAATAATTATTTAGTAACACTAATATTTCTTGAATAATTAGTTTGACCATTGTTTGACCATAGTTTGACCAGATTTGACCAAAATTCAAAATAACTGAAATAATTATTTAGTAACACTAATATTCTAGAATAATTAGTTTGACCATTGTTTGACCACAGTTTGAAATTTTTTCGATTTTTTCCACTCTAGATCTTAAAAGCCCCGTAACTTTTTTTCTGTTAGGTTTCTGTTAGATTTTTCCACTCTAGATCTTAAAAGCCCCGTAACTTTTCGAGTAGATGATTTTTCATATAAAAAACTTTTTCATCCGAGTCAGTATGCAAAAGTTATGCCCATTTTACTAAATTCTAGAGAGATTTTGCAAATAAAGCCGAAATTCATATTTGTAAATTTTCCCAACAACTAGACCACATATCACATGGGAAACTTATTTTCTTTTATTTTTTTGACATTTTCATCATTTTCTTTTATTTTTTTAAAACTGAAAAGGCGATCCGGGGGGGGGGGGTTGAAAATGGGACCTTTAGTACCGGTTCGTGCCATGAACCAACCCTTTAGTCCCGATTGGTGCCACGAACCGGGACTAATGGGCATCACACCCTTTAGTCCCGGT